TTTAGTTTGATTAAATCTTTTTTGGGGTTTGCAAAATTCCCAATTTTTAGAAAATTTTCTGATTACGCAATTGTTTTAAACAGTGATTTTTTGTGTATTCTGTAAGTAATTGAAAAACACCTTCTAATAATTAGGTTTGATATATAAAATGTAAAATAATTACGTTCAGTAATTACAGATTAGATTTTTGATGGTTATTTTACTCAGTAATTTGTTTTGAATATTTATGTTCTATACAAAAAATATGTATAGCGTGTTTATTCTCTCATTTCACTGATTAAAATAGCGTTTTGCTTTTTTGCGCAGGAAATAATAGAATTAATTTTTATGATTAAATCTGCAAATAAATTAAGCTTTTAATTTTAATTCAAAATAATTTTTGTGCAAATTAAAATTCGATTATATAACGTCACAAATTCAGAAATGGACTTTGCATGTTTCTGAAATTGTATTCTCGCGATGTCGCGGGAAAAAAGCATGAATTTTGGATTTTACCAAAATGTTCAGCCATGAATGCCTCAATTGGACCAGTAGACAAAATAACTCGTTGCGCCATCATATCTTCCTTCTGCTTGATATGACAAGTTATCATATTTGTGCTAACTTTGAAATTCTGCACGATATTTTCTACAGGCCCATAGCTCAAATTGTTAATGACAATAACTGTTAATAGATTTTGGCCATTTTTGCCTAACGCACCAAATAATACACAAATAATTGCGCATCGAAAGAGCTGAAATTGATTTGCTAATATTTAACTTAATACCAATTTGTGAGAGATTTTAAGTAAGCAATTGTAATTTTTGAGTGAGATTGCAGAAAATAAAAACAGATTTTAAGTCTGCACGGATATAAATGATCACAGTGCGGATATAAATGATCACCAATTAATTACCGGGCTGCCTGCAAATGCAATTGCACAAGCTACAATTACTATCCATTTTAAAATCTGTTCTGCAATCGGATTAAAGTCTAAAAAGTTGATTCGATGCCAAGCTGAAATTTGCATATTTACTCTGTTTTGTTTGAATTAATCACCGAAATATTGTCTATTATATGTATATTAACCAACAAAATAACATCAAGTATCAAAACATTTTTGAATTTAAATTTTCAGATTTTTGCTTACTTAACAGCTCAAAGCACATATCCCATTAATGTCAAGAGAGTGATCAAATTCTGAATAAACGACATATTTTGCTATGAAAAATTTTTTTGGTTGTTTGTGAAGTTAAATTCAAATGAAAAGCAGAGAACGAAAAAACACACTACAATTAATGCTGTTGAAAATACTTTTAGAGCTTGAATTTCAATGAAAATCGTTCAATTTATTTAGTTAAGATGAATTAAAAATACTGACCGAATTTATAAAGTAAGGCGGATATAAGAAATCCAGTTGGTAAGTTGATAATGACCCTTAATCGCTGATAATCATAAACTCCGCTGTAGAAAAAAATATCAAGAAATTTTGAACGGCCGAGACGAATTCTTCTTTCTTCTCGATATGGTTCTACCAAAAAATTTTTTGTCAATTCTTGACAATTGAATACCATCGTACCACGGGAAAACTCCTTACTGCCAACAGTTGCTGGTCTTTCACTGGTTTATATCCAAATAAATGTCAATGATGTAATAAAACACCTAGGATTTACAAATTTCCATTAAGGCAATTATGCAAATTTGTAAATACTAAAAATTAAAAATAATTTTGCAATGAAATAAAAGGGAAAACTTGACAAAATTAAAACTTTTATGTGCACCAAATTAATTCGAACAATACATAGTGAAGTGAATAATTACGTAATTAACGTGGTCCACGAAGCATCAAATTGACGTGGTCCACAAAGCATTAAACATAAAAACTATGTGATAATTTCAAATATGTACAAATAAATAGTCATTCAACATGTAACTGTGATAGTTATTCATTGCTTCCGAGATAAAAATTGAAAAGATAATAAATACAACAAGTATAATACAGAAAATTGAAGAATTAAATTGAAAGACATAGCGAAATGCAATAAAAATTGAATGCAACAAATTTACTTGTATAAATACACTTTTATGTAGAAATACTTAATAATTGGTGAAATTACGATATGATTAACTGAAATTCTTTTTTATCACATACATATATCCTTGTTAAATTTGTTCATAGCTTCGTAACGTAAAAGGATTTAAGTATTTCGATTCCTTAGTTTTAAATTATGCAGCCGCATTCTAACGCTTTGACATCTTTCAATTTGCGCTTGATTTCGGTGCCATTTCTATTTTCGACAATCTAAAAATTTTCCCTTTTTGACAAAATTTATTTTGTAACTCATTAAAATCATTGTATTTTATTGTTTTAAAGTTTACAGTAATTAGTATTGGAGAATAATGATATCATTTTTGATCAAATACAATTTTGCTGAATTCATTAATAAGTATGTATAATGCAAAGAGCTTGAAGGTCTCATTTACTGAGCACTATTTTTGTATTCTGAAACAATTCTATTACAAGCAGAAGTTATCACTTTGATCAAATAATACCTCCAAAGATGACCACTTAGTGGGAACGCAGCAAGAAAGTCTTCGTTGAAACGGACTTTCTGGGTGGTTTATTCCATCTTGTAAAATTAGCATATCACGGTCATTTTTTAAAATCTGCATGTTATTGCACTCACCTTCGCAGAAATTTATGTTAAATCTAAAACACACATAAGTAATCACTTTATCTCCTATTATTATCAACATAATGATCTTTATCATAATTAATAATGATGATTCTGAATATCATCAGCTTTGTTTCCTCAAGTAAACATAATTAAAGTAAATGAAACTCAAAGTTAATAAATTAATCACAAATTAGTTATTCTATTTAAGTCATCACCACAAGCAACTTTTATGATAATCTGATAAGCAGAACTTTTGTAGTACTTTTGGCAGCATTGCAATCAAAATCATTGAACTTTATTGTTTTAAAATTTTATTATCACAAATAAACCCCGCTGGTTTGATTATATAATCCATTCCTTGTTGACCAAAGTCAAAATATAAACTTTTTAAACAGCATATTCCATTTCTACAATTCTGATCGATCTCTCGTTTTTTTCGAATATTTTTGTCCTCTAAAAACTGTCATTTTTGTCGTAGTTATCTTATTTCTTGCTGTTATCATCATTTTTTCTCTTAATTCTACGTATTGCAATGATCTTTGTCATAATAATAATAATAATAATATTCACAATAATGGTGATAATTAGTATATACTGATAACAATTTGATAAGCTGTAATAATTACATCGCAAAAATTGTATATTAGATTCCATATTAGGTTTAGAACTCTTTGATAAACGGTCAAATTACAGAAATAGTTAAAATAACTATTAAAATATTAGTGATTTCCATGATTGATTATCTTAAGAAAAAGTACTTCAAATTTGCAGGCAGCAATGTTTTTGATTTGAAGTGATATTTTCAGTAGTTTTTTGCAAGAAAAGACTTAGAGGACTTAATTCTTACCTTTACCTTTAGCATTCACGGAAGCACGTTGTTCGCATGTTCTTTGAAGTTTAGCACGAATCTCCTGGGAAATCTTCTGCAATAGTTTTTTGCATACGTATAATCTAACACTAATTCACTTTGCTATAATTTAATTACTCAGGTCACGTGTTTATGGCTACTTTAGATATTTTTCTGCTTTTGCCGGAAGTTTATTTTTTTGTATGATAAAAAAATAGAAGTGACAAGTAAGTACGGAAGCGAATGTTGATAGGAAAGTTTGAAATAGCAAAAGAAAAGTCAAAATATTAAAAAAAAAACTTTTATGCATCGAAAAAAAATCAAATCAAATCAAATCGAATCGAATGAATTGTCAAATTTTGCAATTGTTTACATTGAACTGCTCAAGATATGCCAACCTTTTCAACATTTAAATGATCAGTGCCATAAAATAAATTCCGATTTGTACTTGTTATAAGTGATAATGACGACGACATTGATGACGGTGATGACTGTGGCAGGTGACTTATAATATTAGAGGAGCAGAATGCAGTTGTCATCAGGAATGTGAGGAATCTCACTGGGAGCCGTATGAACATTAGTGGTTCACGAATGAAAGCTCAAGCTGAGCATACACGTCGATAAGCTCGAAAATTTGTTTGTGCTGCTAGACGTCCCCACCCCAAAAACGTTTCCTAATGACGATCACATGAAGAGCAAGCAACCTTCCAATCAAGAAAAGCTAATTTGAATCTCATGTCGGATCCCAAGCTCCTTCACGTACCGTATAATTCTCAATTTGTGTCATTATTCTAGTCCTTATTCAGTATTTTGCTAATAATAACCATGAAATATACTTGAGATTGGAAGCTGATTCTTTCACTTTACATCATGGAGTGATAGACCTCCCATTACGATGCTATTTTTCGCTTTTGAGTTAAATTGTTATTTTGTGTTTTTCATTCAAATACATGTGAGACTCGTATTATGCTACGGAGCGATAAAGAAAATACCATAGATCTAGAAATTTCCTTCAGTCAGCCTTCTCACATTTTGTTTTTGTGTAGCTTTCAACATTTTATTGTAGCGAAGTTTGCTCTTTCTTTGTGTTTTTTAAAGCTTTCAACTAGAAAGCGTACTTAAAAAGTTAAAACTGCGTGGAAAAAGTTTTTATAGTTTATGGATTTGCGTGAAACTGTTCATTCTTCACGTCTATACATGATCTTCTGAGTACTTATGTATTTTGTAAAATTCAAGTCGGAGTTTTTTACACATAAATTAGTAATCAAAGTTGTAGTGTATAATGTTGATGGTAATTTTCGAAGATAGAATAGATTTTATAGAGACGATTGAATCAATTTATTCATTTACTTCAATTTGAAAAGCGGAATCATCATCACGTGCTTCTTTAGCATGTTCAAATGATTCTGCTCGCTTCATCTGCAAATAGAAGCTTTATTACACAAAAAACGAAATCTGAGGATCAAAGCTCTCTCATTCACAACAGGAATTTTCAAAGACTGAAAGATTTTTTTGCTTACGAAAATTTAGATATCTGATTCTTATTTGGTACTTGCTACAGAAAAAATATAAAATAACGATTCTAATATCAATAGATAATGGAAATTTAAAAAAGTATCCCAAAATTTTTGAGAACAATTTGAATACTCACGAATAACAGTAAACAGTAGAAAACAATAAAATATATGAAATTATTATACCGAATCGATGTAGTATTCCGAAATCTTCATTTCGTTATCAATGCTTCCGGAGACCATTAGCGGCACTTGATCAACATCTACATGGTCTGCATCATCCAACTGAGAAGAGATATACATGCGATAATCATGCAAACTTTCCAGTCCATATTGAGATGCTACAAAAACGAGGGGACCTGAAAAAATTTTAGTGATAATTAACATGCAGAACTTCTACAATAGGAATTCATTATAATCATAACTAATAATATCATGAAAACTGCTTAAAAGTATTTTTGAAATTTTTTTTTAAATATCTGAGAAACAAATATTTGCTTTTTTGAATAACTTTTGTGAGCAAAAAGAAATCTTGCATAATTTTTCAGACAAAAATTGTTTAGTATAAATGATGTTAATACGTTTGGGGTTCAGCTCCGGAAAGCTGTACACAGAAGTGTCCATAGTTAGCCCGATATCAATAGCCGTTTTTGCGTCTTCTTCACTATCCACTGAGTACGAATGCAAGTCGGAACTTGTGTACGAATACAAGTCGTTCGAGAGGTTCAAATCATGCTGTACTGCCAACATAAGTGCTTTGTTTATCACCAATGCTTAAACATCAATAAAAACATTACATTAATGACTTCAAACTCACATTTCTCTAAATTTTGAGGTGATTCGACTGATTATTGCAATTTTATTGAATCAATTACAAATATTTTTACAAACTTCGACAAAATAAGTTCAGAACTGCAGCGTCTACCTTTCCTCAGTCTCTCAATTTCAAGAAAATATAAAGCATCCTAAACAGTTATTTATTTTAGCAGATACTTTGCCTCTTGATGTACAACAAAACTTCTTTTATTGACTATCCATGCAGTACTTTCATGCAAAGGTTTGGCTACAAAATTCAAATGCAAAAAACGCAAAATTTTCTGTTCTTGACAGTGCAAGCAGAATTTAAAAAACACAAAAATAAAAATTCTAACCTCACTGCAAAATCTTTAATAAAATCTTTGCATTGTAGTGGAAAATGAAACTTGAATAAAAAATATTTTGTTAAAAGAGATCTGGAAATTTTGGAAAAAAAAGTAGAAACTTTAGCAAACAAACATTTTCCATGTTTCAATTCTCAATAAAAAATAGCGACCAATTGATTAAAACGACTAAATAAACTTAGAAATCATTATAATAAAATTCACGCTCTTCCACATTAGTCATGTACGTATGCTCTACATCTGAATTGAACTCATCCGTCGATATCAATCCACTTTGAATTGAATGACTATCCGAATCATACGCCATCTGCAAAGAACAATAAAGGAAAATTAATACTCATCTGTTTTAAATACTCTCTGAAACGATTTTTTTTTCTCTGTGCTTAATTTATCGCCAAAATATGCATTAAACGGGAATTTTCTTCATTTTAAGTTCAAAATAAGAGTCCAAAGTTTGCTTTATACTTGATCTAACAAGTATTAATTTTTGAAAAGGCTGTGTTCTCTTTAGCTGAACCTACCTTTTTACAAAGAACCGTTCCAAATCAGCAAACATAATTTCTTGACGAAAAAAGTTGTACGTGAGACTGATGTCAAACGTTAATTAGTTACTTGATAAGTAAAGATAATATCTGAAATTTCACTGGCTCCATGTTTTATTTATCGCTTTTCCAGAGTAAATAACACTGTACATCCTTTAATTTTGACTATACTATGTAACCCTTAGTGACGTTAGCAGATTTCCAAGTAATTTTCACATAATTCTCACGTGATTTTCAGCTAATTTCGCAATTTATCTTCATTTTAATGAACATTGGTAAAAAAATGCACAAACCAATTTCGGAAAGCGGTGGTCATTTAAAATAAATGGGAAATTTAGACTGCAGTTTATGATTCTTTCTATGCTCTGGTTTAAAGGTTTTGAGGTTCTGTTTTGTTTACTTTTTGAAGTCGCTTTTTATTTTTGCGGCAATTTTTATTTTAATTTCATACTCCTTAAGGTCGTAGATATACTTTATTAAGTTTTTTAATTCCCAAATTTGTGCTTCTAATTAATACTCTCTTAAGATAATCGTATGAAGATAAATATGCGGGAAGTTTTTATCTTAAATGAATATTTCAGCGGGGCTAGGTTTGATAGAAACATATATGAGACATTCTTAACATCACTAGTGAATTTTTTTACAAAGAGTCGAGGTAATAAACATTAATACGATAATTTAATGTTTGTTATTCGATGTTAATAGTGTGTTTATTGTCAACTACAGTATATTATTTCAGAATATGTTGCATTCCTCAGTGAAACCAGTATCTCTCACTACTTTACTAAGACGTAAGAAAAAGTCTGGTGATAAGGAAATCCCTGAGAATTATGCCTCGGATTCATTCCGTCCTACGCAAATAGAAGTCGGTAATATGGCTGATAAAAAAGGATCAGCATATGTTGAATTTGGTTCAACAAAAGTTATTTGTGCGATTGATGGTCCCAAAGAAGTGACAAAAACTAGTGATGCCGAATATATGGATTGTAAAATATGTGTTTTTTACAGGAATACTTCATCAAGCGCAATTGCAACAGGTCTAATTTACATCTATTTCCGAAATTGTGTAAATAATCAGTGAATTAGAGCTGTTTAAACTGTCAAAGATTGTTATTTTACTTCCTAGCAAGAAATCGTGAAAATTTCCATTCAAAGTTTGATAATTTTAAACAAATAATTGTGTTGTTTGTTCTTCAGGTTCAGAAGTAAAAAGAACAATCGATTAGAATTATTGTTACAGTTCAGTGACATTTTATCACCCTTTATAAATCTTTTTTGAATTAATATTATCCTAAAAATTACAGTTATAGTTCTGCTTACATTATCTTCATTTTAATTTAGATGAATTCCTTCATGTAATCTTGACACTTTTCATTCGTTAAGATTCGCAAAAAGTTTTGAGTGAGTGAGAAACCGTGTGAGACAAATATACAGCAGGAAATATTAAAGCATGAAGTTATGATTGTTCAAAATTTTTGTGCAGAACCATATTGTGTTAAATCATTATCTGTAGTAGTTTCTTCAAGTTTTTTCAGCTTCAAATACCTCAAACAAACAGAACAGTACAATACGAAGTGCTATAGAATCAACTCTGCGATCAATGGTGTGTTTAGATTTATTCTGCAAGGCTCAGATTGATGTCGAGATTACAGTGATTGAAGATGATGGCGGTGTTTTGGCTGTGGCGTTGATTGCTTCTTGTTTGGCTTTAGTGGATTCTGGAATTCAGCTTTATGATGTTTGTGTAGCTGCTCATATTGTCATGTTAGCTGATGGCCGCGTTATAGTTGATCCTCCGAATAGTCTTTTACTTCCGTCTTCTGGATCAGACTCGAAAGACCTTCTTAAAAATGCTCATCTTTCGGTCACTGTTGGGATCATGCCTTCTTTAAATCAGTTAACTTGTTGCGATTTTGTTGGCATTGCTACACCAGTTCAGTTAAAGCGTGCTATCGCAGCAGCTGTTGAGAATTCAATTAAATTATATCCATTGATACGCAAGACATTGGAGAATCGTGCTGCGTAAAGTTTTATGGTTTTTTTTTTTTTTTTTTT